CCACCCTAACGCTGCGCCCTCTCTAGCTCTCGCCGTCGCCTCTCGCCTGCTCCTCAGCCTCGCTCTCGCCCCGAATCGCCCTCAGCAACGCCCCTCCCACCTTCCTCCTCGACCGCCGCGCGGATGGCGAAATGAGCCCAATCATCGTCCGTCTGGCCCCTGTCGTTTGGCCAATCGACGCTCACGTCTCAGAGCCCTGGGCCAATAGTATGGGGCGCTGAGATCCTCTGCGGTGCCCAACCAATCCTCTAACGACGTTCCCGCGCCGGCCGGACCCCGGGTTGACGGTGCCCGCCCCATTACGCCCCCTGAAGGATGCTCCTCCTCCACCTCCTCATCGATTTCGCTTGACGGCTCAAGAGGGGAGGGCAGCGCGATGACGTCAGACGGCGGAGCGATGCTTCGGGCGCCATCTTGGGGGCGCCGGGCGGGATGCGCGTCGGAGTCCGGGGTGAAAATGGGGGAAATTGAGGCTCGCGACACTCGGAGGTCAGGGGCGGGGGAACTGAGCCGCAGGAACCCCAGAGGAGCAAAAGGAGAGAGTGAATCAGCAGTCAGCGCAAAGGGGAGAGGGGAAAGTGTAGCACCAATTGCATGGAAAGAGAAAAAGGGTAAATCAAGGCTCAGACTTTATTCGTTAGGAAGAAAGGAATAAAGGCAGCAAGAAGGAAAGGAAGAAAAACCGAGGAGCTCTTGAGGGAGGGGGGAGAAGAAATGTCGGAGGAAGAGCAGGGGAGAGGGAGTCTGAGGGAATAAGGAAAACCTGAAAGATAAGAGAGAAAATGGGAAATTGAGGGAGAAAAAGTAAAAGCGGGACTGACAGTTTCATTTGAAGAAACAGGGAGTGTAAGGGAGTGGATGCCTTGAAAGACAAACAGGATGAGAACCTGAAGGAAGTGACCGTGTAACGGTTGGACTATATTCTTCCTTCCAGGGTGCCTTCCTTCCAGGCTGCTGCCCCCGCAGCTCAGGGAAGGTAGAGTCCCTATGTGTTCACCCTCATCTCCCCTTCTGGCCTTCAGGGCCTTGGGAGCAAGTTGTCCCAGCACTGTTAGGTTTCCAGAGCTACTTCCCAGGGACAGGAGAGCTGCAAGAGATTCACTTGTTTTAACTTTTCCCCCACCCCTTTTCTTAAATGAATAAACTGAGTCTAGAGGAATTAGTCATTTACCTTCCACCTAGGTCTGATTCTTCAGCCATTGCCTTTGCTGTGTCCTTCAGTTGAATTCTAACAGGATGTCCTAACTTTCGGCTAGATTAAACTCCTTTAACACCAGTCCCATGTAATCACATCGGGCTGCCTAGATTGGAATCCTGGCCCTTCCACTTCCTAGCTGTTGTCTTGGACAAGTCAACAACCCTGTGCCTTAGTTTCTTCATCTGAAGAATAACAGCCCCTGTATGGTTGTGAGGTACAGAGAAAAAGCTATGTAAGAGTTGTTTTTATTAGAATCTCTGGGAGCCGAGTAATAATAGCTAATGTGTCCTAAGTGTGTTATGACTTGCTAAGTGTTATACTCAGTGCTTTACATGTATTATTCAGTTTAATCCTCCCAGTAACCCTATGAGGGAGGAACAATTGCTCTCACTTTGCAAAGAAATTGAGGGTCACAGAAATTAAGTTATTTGTCCATTGTTAGGAAGAGACAGCGCCAGGATTCCAACCCGTGACTTCAAGGTCTATACTTTTGTCTCCCAGGCTCTACTGCCTGGCAGATGGGATGTCCAGAGTGGATGAATGCAAGAAGTGGAGGAAAGAAGTTGGTGGTAATCAGTGAGCTCTAAAGCTGATAATCTGAGTTTGCCCTCAGGGTGAGGCCACCTGGGGCAGGAGCCAGAGAACCTGGAGGCTAGACTCTGAGGGTTCCTTTCCCCACTTGAAAATGGAAGTGTCCAGGTTGACTTGTCAGGTCTCTTTCTGCTGTGACCTTCTTCTTGGACTTCCCAGTTTTTCTGGATGGACTAGGTCCCTTCACTTGAGATGATACAGGACTAAGCTGAGGCCTGCGTCCGTTTTTCTGGAGATGGTGACACAGGGCTAGGACTTCCGGGACAGATTTAATTTTGAGAGGCTAGGCGTTCTATGCTGGGGTCCCTGCATAAGCAAAGGCCTAGAGGCCAGGTCTAGCTGGAGCTGAGAATGGGCATTGGGGGCCCCAGGTAGGTAAGGAGGTGCAGGCAAAGTTGGTCATCCTTCAGGTCAGATGTGTTTTGGGGATCCCCCACATGCCAGCTGCAGAGGGCCTCCCATACCAGGCTGGTGTGAGGGTTGCCACATGCCGTGTGTGTGTGTGTGCACGCGCAAGGCTTGTGGTCACGTGTGCTGGGGGCTGCACGTGAGTGTCAGTGTCTCCCCATCACGAACGTTGGGGGTGGTGGTGAGTCACAGACTCAGCCTTCAGCGCCAACTGTCATGTTCTTTCCCCCCAAATTTCACCCCCCCCACTTAACTGCACCACCCACCCCCACTCCAAGATCTGTGTCTCTGCTTATTTCTTCCATGCCCCTCCTGCCCTGCTCAGCTCCAAGAAGGAGGGAGTCTCCCTCTTCTTCTGGCTCTGCCCTTCAGCTCCCTGCCCTTTCCCACTGTCTCTATGCTTGGGTGACTCTTCTCCCCACCCACTATCTCCGTGGGTCCCCAGGATTTCTCTCTGCATTATGGAGAATTCCAATACTCACCACCCATCCCTTCACCTCCACAGGAGCTATTTCTGTTTCGGGGGGGGGGGGGTTCTCCCTTTTCTCCATGGGCCAGCTGCTCCTGCCTCAGTAGGCCTTTTGTGTCCACATTCTGCCTTTGTGGTTTTCCTGGTGTTTATGCGTCTCCCTCCATTTCTGTGACCTTCTCTCACTTTCCTTGGCCCTCCTTCCTGTCTCTGTGATGTGCATCCTTGGTCCAGTTTCTGTGGGCCTCTCCTCCTGTCCGTGGTCTTCTCTCACCACGGACCACTCCCCATTTCTCTTTCCCTGGGCCTCTCTCCATCTTCCTGGGGAGCTGAGTTCACAAGCTGCCCCCTCTTCCTATCTTCATTGTGTGTGTGTGGGGGGGGGTGCTGTCTAGGTTCACAAGCTGTTCTTGTCTCCTAGGTCCTCAGCTTGTCTCTGTGGTCTACTCCCTTGTCTTGATGGTCTTTTTTCTTTTTTTTTTTTTTTGCTTCGGTCTTTCCTGTCCTTGTCTGTGTGTTGTGTACCTGTCCTCCTCGTGTGGTCTCTTGCTGGCTGTCTTGCTTGTCTTCTCTTACTTTTT